AGTCCACAGCAAAACAATACTCAGCCGTGAAAGTGGTAATTATATGTGAGTCAATAATGATCTGTAGTTGTAAGTGTAATTAAAGTCTGGATGATGAGTTTCAGGTGTGTGTGAGTGTAATTAGAGCAACAGATTGTGGGAGGTGTAGTACGAGTAGATGACTAGTGCTGGATGGATAGGTGAAGTTAGGCCTGTCTCAATTATAAATATATTAAATTATCACATAATACATGGACATGACCTCAATCATTGTTGGTGATGCAATATATATTGCCATGCCCATACATAAAAAACAATTCTTGCAACAACAACAAAAAAAAAAAAACACTGAAGTATTGGCTATAAATTACTATAGTATATTTTCATGTGGGTGCCTGACAACTGAAAATAGATCTGATACCAGATATCTCAGCCTCTGTTACTTTTTACCTTGCACTTTTTCGTTAACATTTATTATTATTTATTTTGAATATGCGTTTTCACATTCTGATTCCAATGCCTAATTAATTAGATTGTTAATTTAATTAAATTTAAAATGAAATGAAATATTAGGTGTTTTTTGGAAAGGTGTACTTGCATTGTTAAAATATTATTTTGTCATTCCTGCATTATATAATGAGTGGCATAAAATGGTCTTAAATAGAGAATAATGTCATTTATTGCAGTATATTTTGGTGCAGCATATTGTACGACAAAAATAGATATCATGGCAGGCCTAAGGGGAGTGTCTTTGGAGTCTTGTGGGCAATCCAGCTGATAATCGGGACAGTTTCACTCTGGTTTTTGTTTATTATATTGCTTTATGCTACATTTTTTTCTTACTCTGTATTCTTAACTAGTTTTCTAGTATAAATATTTAAACATTCTTGAATCAAGATATGTTTAATTGAACAAAAGGACTATGTATTTTTAAAGTTTTATTTTTTATACTATATTAACAGGTTTATTTATTTTTTCATTAACTCCGTGTTAGTAATAGCTCATAAATTTTAACCAATATAGTTATATTACATCTGTTTTTACACTACATCATTTTCAATTTTTAAATAGTTATTTTTTTTGTATAGTTGCAAGTAAAAATACATTTGTAGTTTTTAAAGTTTATTTATATTACAATAGTTTCTATTGTTAATAGGTGCAATTATTAATTGAATATTGGTGGTGCATAATACATTTTTTTCATGTTAGCTTATTTTAATAAAAAAAGTGCACTGATCCATTAAGTGATTTTAATGGATTAACAGAGCTAACTTAAAATCAATGCATTTTATTTAAAAAAAATAATAAGGTTCTTATTTTTAAGTAAACTGAACACACAGATATGGGCAACTACTCTCCGTGTCATATTTTGGTGATAGTCTAATGTGAGTCTAGTGTTTTGTTGATTGGTCTTGTTGTTCTTGAATTGTCAGCTGATGTGTGTAGGCTGAGGAAATTAGCAGCTCTTTGGTTCACACCAAGCCTGTGATTGAATCTGCTTTAATTTAGGTCTATTTTTACTTTGCTCAATCACAGCATGAATGGAGAGTGATGGAGAGAGGTGGTCCTGAAGCACAGCTCTTTCTGATGAGATTCACTTTGCAAAACAGAGAGTGGTTGAATCGAAGTGGGTGGCAAACAAAGAAACTTAAAACAGAGATGGAATACATAAAAACTTAAAAACAGAATTTGAAAACTGTTTTTTCCAGGTCTAAATCATTTTTATTAAATCATATAAAATATATAATTATCATTTTTGTTGATAACCTTTGGATAAATCATAGAAATTAAGGTATTCTAGTAATAAATTAGACTATGCAATAACTTATAAGTTATTAAATAAGTAAATAAAGTGATAAAGTTTGTTATTGTTTATTAATTAACATTTATATAATGACAATAATAATAATAATAATAATAATAATAATAATAATAATAATAACATTGTTTAATGTTAGATCATGATAGTTCAAGTTCATTCAATAAAATATACTTCTACAACATTTAAATCTAAATTTGTTTACATTTATTTTATGTGAAGTTTATTTATAAACTATTTTCGAGAGGATCACTTGCTTATGATTGTTCATGGCTGGTCCCGCTTCAGCTTATGATTGATTCACCAATCAGACAATTCCTAATTCACCAGAGTTTCTTATCTCAGTGTCCCTCCACCCACCCCTACTCCCTCTTCATTCTAGATGGGCTACACGGCGGCCCAGTTTTTAGCACTGTTGCCTCACAGCAAGAATGTCTCTGGTTAAAGTCCCTTCTAAACCAGTTAACATTTCTATGCAGAGTTTTGCTCGTTCCCCCCATGCTTGCGTAGGTTTTTCCTGGGTTCTCTGGTTTCCTCCCACAGTCTAAAAATCATGCAACCTTAGTAAATTGAACATACCAAATTGACACCGTAGTCAAGCTCTTAGCACGTCGTATATCACTACTTAGCTGTCCCATTATCTGTCTTTAGGCAGAATTAAGTCAAGGGAGTTCATCGAGATCTACCTGAGCTCAAACTCCCCTCTCACCTTGCTAACAGGAGGGAGCCCATGGCTCGAGGATCTCATGGTTCTCTCCCAGGACAGCGTGCCAAACAAGCTTTATTACAAATCATCATCTTAGTGTGAATTTGAAAATACTTTGTGATGGTAAAGCAATTTATTAAAAAATGACTGTAAAGCCATTTATGTTACAAAATATTTCAAATTGAGCAAAAGGGACAGTAAAGTTATTTACAACGTTAGAATTTTTTTTTTAAACTGATCAACCTCAAAATGTATAATATGAAATGTAATTAATTTCTGGTATTTTGACACAGAATGTATCACAGTTTCCCCACAAAAAAAGCATTACAACTGTTTTTAACATTGAAGATAATAATAAAAATGTCCTCTGCATCAAATTATCATATTAGAATGATCACTGATCGATCAAACTAAAGTAATAATGCTCATCTTTCAGCTTTGCCATCATTGAAAATTAAACAAGTTGCATTTAAAATGTATTAACACTGGAACAGTTGTTTTCAGTTGTACAATTTATTAATATTTCACTCCATAAGTGCTTTAAATCAAAAAAGCAACATTTCCAAAGATTTCCTTTGAATCTTTGAAAAAATCTTTGAAAAATCTTTGAAAAAATAAAGATAAAGATAAAAATAAAGCTCAAATCTCTAATCTCAAATCTCTAATCTCATATAATTCTTTGTTATCATTCATTGTAAGTTTCTGAAGTTGCTGAAAGTTTTGAAAAGGATGGCTGAGATAGATGTTATGTCACCATACAGTGAGTCACTTGCGCCCCAGTTACATCATCACCATCATCATCTCTATTATAAACTTGGCATGAGGTGTTTCACTGATTCGGGCTTTTTGGATGCACACACTGGCCCTCTAAAACCCTCTCAAACCCAACCATCGAGAACAATTGGCTGTGAGGAAAATAAACCCATGAGTCATAGAGAGCCAGAGCTTGTGTTTTGTCATCACAGCAAGCTGTTATCTCCACTATTATAAGTACAGACAACTGGGAAAAGACAGAACAGAGCCTAGTAGAGTTGGTAAAAGTAACAATATTCGATAACTCAATATCGTTTAAGGTCGGTTAAAGCGGTTTACGGTTTAGTCAGTTTAAACGATTAGTTCACTCAAAAATTCTCTTATTTTTGATAAAAAACATTCTCTTATTAAATACAACCTTTTTTTGTTTTTTTGCTTCTAAAAGTTTTACGTTTAATGAAAACTGGATGAATGACAACGTGAATTCAAGGTTCATGCTCAACATTGGGCCATGCTTGATGTTTTAAAAAGGATAGTTCACCCAAAACTGTAAACTCTGTCATTGTTTACTTCTGATGAACACAAAAGATTTTAAACAATGTTTAAAACCTGAAAAACATAGAATTCTACAGGATTGCTTTTCCCTACTACTGAAGTCAAGGGTTGCAGGTTTCTAAATAAATTAAGAGAAACCCCTAAAGAAACTACATGATGAGTAAATTCATTGATTTTCTTTTCGGCTTAGTCTCTTTATTAATCTGGGGTCGCCACGGCAGATTGAAACGCCAACTCATCCAGCACATGTTTTACGCAGCGAATACCCTTCCAGCCGCAACCCATAACTGGGAAACACCAATACACTCTCATTCACACATATACACTATGGACAATCTAGCCTATCCAGTTCAATTATACCACATGTCTTTGGACTGTGGGGGAAACCTGAGCACCCAGAGGAAACCTACGCGAACACAGGGAGAACATGTAAACTCCACACAGAAATGCCAACTGACCCAGCTGAGGCTCGAACCAGCAACCTTCTTGCTGTGATCCGAACGATGATGAGTAAATAGTGAGCAAATTTAAATTTTAGGTGAACTGTCTTTTTAAGACTGCCAATTGGGTATTTGCACAGCTAGTGTTTTTCAGACAATGATAAACTTCCTGTGAAAGCTTAATGTGACTTTTTTTCTATTTTATAAGGTTCCTTTTACAGCATCGTTGTTGTAATGTAATTACAATACATTCAGTTTAATAGACTTAAGCATTGATTTAGTTGCGCAAGCGTAAAATGAGATGAAAGACCGCGTAAAGTCTAGCGCGGTCAGGATCAGCAGACTTGCGTAGAAACTCCATTGAAAATACTGGGGTAAAATAAATTGACATATTTTAAAGACATATCGGGGGAAATTGAATTTATTGCAGTGCTACATGTCCAATCTGAGACCTATTTCATATTGTACATCTATCAGGCAGTGAAGATCACTGATTTTTCAAAAAATCGTGGCAATTTTATAATGGAAAGAGTTCACCGGAAGCTCTGAGGCTGGATAGCTGAAATAAAAAGTCTGTATGCATATACCCAATTGAAGATAAAAGCGTAAATATCGTCAATTCAGTTACCACTGTGCTGTTGTAATATTTCCCCATTGTATCAAAAATGGCATGAATCAGTGATATTCTTCAGGGTATCACATACATAGAAGTCAGAAATTCCAGTATTGTGAAAACACTAGAGCCTACCTTACACTGGACCACTAGAGCTGAGAGACTGGCTGCTCTTTCTCCCTCCTTGAGCTCTTTCTTCCTCTGCTCTTTCTGTTTGGAGTCAGTCTTTCCTCCTGCGTCACTGCTGTCTCCTTCATCTTCATCATCCCCATCCTCATCAGACCTCAGGCTCTTTTCACTCTCTTCAGGAGACTCGCGCTCCTCTGTGGAATCATCCACTGTGCTCTCGCTCCTCTCCTCGGGCTCTCCAGGCTCTTTGCTGTCTGCTAGGGGTGAGCGGACATGAGACGGGATATCCCGAGTCTCTCCACGCAGACGGGGGATGTTGCCTTCCAAGAGGCGCCGCTGCACAATGCTGTGGGGTTGCTGTACGGGGAGGGAAAGAGAAGAGAATTTTGTTAGTTGTGAGTTTGAGTTGGCATGTGAGCTTTTTCCTGCAATTGGTTTACTTTTGAAAGTATTATAAAAAAATGTGTGTGTTCATGGAGAATCTGGATGTTTTATTGTTGCATTTGGTGAAGACTGAGGCTCATGATGAAATGAATTAGTTTTAGAGGTCATATGTTTTTTTTTTTGGCTCATTATTTGACTCAAATACAGACTGAAAAACTAACTAATAAAAATAGTTATTAATTTACAGTATAAAACATTAACAAAGTTAAAATTATATTTAAATATTAAAAAAAATCATAAAAGTCAAGACAAGTCGAGCTTTATTGTCATTCGGCTACATGTGTGGACATACAGAGGAACGAAATGTTGTGTCTCGCAGGACAGCAGTGCTACATAAATTAATCATAAATACAAACACAACACTGGACATAAGAGCTATTTAAAAAACTATGCATAACTAACATATATTATAAGATACTTATCTATACACAGAAGGCTATACAAGTACTTTTAAATGAGACTGAGTTGTCCAGGATATTGTGCAAGAGAGGTAATAAAAGTGAATAATGTGCAAAAGAGGTATTTAAGGCTTAATACTGTGCAAAAGAGTTATTTTAGGTTAGCAAGCAGTGCAACATGATTGTGGTACATTTATAGTAAACATCGTTTTCATTATTGAGTTCTTGTAAGATGGAGTTTGGATAAAGTGTCAGGTGCTTAAAAGAGAAAAGAAGGTTTCTATCAATCAAAGTTTATTTCTAGAGCACACTTAATTACAACCTTTGGTCGACCAAGGTGCTGTACAGTAGCAGTAGCAGGTAAAAACAGCAATACACTATAATAAAAACAACAATATAAAACAATAGTAATAACTTTAAGAGTTTCCAAGAGGGAATACGTTTAGTATAACCTAGGGACTGTTAAATGCACTCGGAAAAGAAAGGTGAGTCTTTAACGTTGATTTAAAAATAGATAGAGTGGGTGCTGTTCTGATTTTTAATAGTAACTTATTCCATAGTTTCGGAACCACAACTGCAAAAGCTCTATTGCCCCTGCATTTGAGATGAGATCAGGGTGTTTGCAATAGATGGCAGTCGGAATTTGATCTAAGCGATCAGGTTTGGGTCTTAGTAGTGATCAGATTAGAAAGATACGGTGGTGCTAGGTTACACAAAGTTTTATAAACAGATAAATGTTATAGTCTCCTTGGAAATGAACCGGAAACCAATAAAGTGATCGCAATATTATTTGTGGCTACTCGTGAGCAAACAGGCAGCCACATTTTGGACCATTTGAAGACTAGAAATAGAAGATGAAGGTTGACCAATATATAAAGTATTACAATGATCTAATCGCGTGGAAATGAAGCATGAATAGTCGTTTCAAAACTCTTCCTGATTAGGATGTTCTACAGGTGGTTTGTAAACCCAGTCACCTGAATGAAGCACAGTTTGAAATGCACAATGTTTCCAAGATACATGGAGTGATTAAGAAAGTGTCTATAGTGCAAATGTGCAACCTAGAGTCAGAGAGATGAGAAAAAAAAAGTCTTTTCTACAGGTGGTTTGTTAAGCCCACTCACCTGTAATGGAACATACTCAAGAATGCATGGGGGTGGATAAGATTTCAGAGGGGGGTAAGTTTATACTATATTACTGTAAATTTATGTTTGGCAACTCTGAGTTTGTATCATGTTAATATTCTGTAATGTAATGTAATTACATTACAGTTACATTACATTACAATACATGTTAATATTCTGACATTTATTTTACAATAACTTAATAAAAATAAATAAAGTTCCACTTACTGTAGGTGAAAAAAGCCAGAACAGCACAAAAAAAAACAGTAATTATGAGGAAAAAAGTCAAATCTAGTGTGAATTTTCCTTTTTTTTTTTTTTTTTTTTTTGCAATTGTGGATTTATATCTGGCAACTTGAGGGACAAACTCAGAAATGTATTTTCTCTGAATCGTGACATTCTACAATTTTCTTTTTTTTTTCTAGCAGAGACAGGCTCCCATGATGTTTTCCTATTACTAAAACTACTGGGCAAAACTAATTTCTAATTTACAAGAAACTAATTTCTTTCAATTGGATACACAGGCATTATCAGTAAGTACCAGAGGAGCTATGTCATAAAATATATAATCCCCTTTTCACATTGCTGCAGTTTGGAAGCTGCTGGGAAATAAAACAAGTTCATGTGTGTTTTATCGTTTTGTTTTCCATTACAGAGTTAGACAATAAAAACAGTCGTCAAGTTGTTTAATTTAAAATTAGACAGCGCCACAGTGACTGCCATCACTTTAATGACTGATGAAATCTGTGTTTTGTTTTGGCCACAGATATTGTTCATTCCCAGCAGACGTTATTAACTTCTAATGCATTTCTTTAAGTAATGTTAAGGGAAGGAACGTTTTAAACAAATGGGCTGAGGCTGTGGAAGTTTCTCTGTCAAACCACTACATCAGTTGCGCTGCATTACAGAAGTCACAATGTATTGCGCTGCATTACAGAAGTCACAATGTATAAAAGATGTCAAATGAATCTCTGGTGTACCCAGAATGTTTCTGCGAAGTTTCAGCTCAGAATATCCCATATTATTTATTACAGATTACCCCAAATTGCATGTGAGCAAAGATATTTTTGTGTGTATCCCTTTAAATGCAAATGAGCTGCAGCTTTCCAAAAAAGGGCCGAGCTTTTAGATGCTATTCTGACACTCCAGAAACAACAAAACAAGATAATCTCACACAGCAAAAATGGCAGAACAAAGCCTTACATGATCAAGTTAGCTGAGGAGCAAGAGCTTAGATCAGGGCTATTCAATTAGTTTGTCATGAGGGCCAGTTCATGAAATCATTCCAAATGAGGAGCCAGAGAAATATGACTTGCAATACAAGTAATGACAGCCTTTTTGCTACTTAAGACACCCACATTGTATTTTTCTACACTAAAATGTTAATATATTGTATTTTGAAACTACACAACTGAGTGGATACATTTAATATAGCTAGTTGTGGAGTAAAGTGTTTAGTAAACTCATAAATTAGCATATTACTGCTCTGTTTCATTCTGGTGGCCTTTTTTAAATATTACGTTATTAGTACAGTGCTGTTATCGTTAAAGAAAGGCGTCAGTGTGTATTTTACGAACTGTGAATTTTATCTTTTGCTAGTACTTCTGTGTATTTAAATATCTGGAACTGAAAATAAATGTTATTTGGTGATTTATGAAAGCAGAATGCGACTCTCTGGCTCAGAGAAAGCCATTGCAGAAGAGCAGATTTGAAATTAGCAGCTGATTATGTGACAATCTCAGCATTTTAATCACATCGGTGTGATTGTACACTCCAGGTGCTATTTTATACATCAAACATGGAAACATTTCAAGTATCCCGTAACAGACATATTGTACAAATAAAATCATTGGTTGCAAACAACATTCACTGTAAATTCTATTGAACTCCTTTTTGGGAAAACAGCAATTGGGATTTTTAAAGATCATACCCATCCCCTCCACTCAGCTTTTAAATGTTACCATCAGGCCATACTGTAGGTTTAAAGCTCCTAGAGCCCAAATAAATGCTTATAAAAAGTAATTTGTCCCAATTGCATTTGTAGTCCTAAATCGGATCACAGTTTGATGTGAATAAGGTGGTTGTTGAGAATGATCTGTAGCAATATGTGTGGGGCTAATATACTTTTTAAGTTAAGTTTTTAAATTAATATGCTTGTCTTGTTACTATTATGTGATTGGTTGTATTTATGTTACCAGTGCTAGACAAATTTATTTTCTGTGCCTAAAGCAAACAATAAGCAAACAAACATATACCATTCTCACATAGAAATGTCGCTCAACCTTAAATAAAATGTCTCATGGGTTCCTCAAAGGATATCTGAGCCTTCATTTGTGTTGCTGGGCCTTTAGATATAAGTGGTTGATTTTGTTATGCTGCTGTATTTCTTTTAGCTAGAGAACCCAATATCTCAGGTTTATTTGAGCAACAAATCCTACAGATTGTCGTTTCTGACAGAATATTAGAGGAATAAGGTGATGTGTGTGCTGTACAGGTGCTGTGTTTCTGTATGAGAGGTTGTGTGTCACTGTAACTCGGTTAGAAAACAGCTGCCATTTCCACAGCAGGCGACCTGAGGAAACCAGACTGCAATCTGATCTGCTTTTAAACTTTCTCTGCTTCTCTAATAATACAATTATCAGGACCTCTTGAAAGTGCCACTCAGATATTCTCAAAGGGGAGGCTGAAAATACACAGAAATCTAGATCTTTCCTTCCTTTTCCATACCATCTGTTTCATCTACCGCATGTAGAGCTGTTCTTTTTAAGACAGATAATGCAAGACATATTTGCATATTTTTACTTATCTTTTAATAGATGTATGATACATTATTTTGTACTAATAAGTGATAAAAAACAAAAAAATATACATTGTATTTATATTAGAATATAAATATATTCATTAAACTACTAATTTTATCAAACTAAATATTGTAATTTTTTACAATTTTGTCATTTATTAAGATACTGGTGAACTGATGAATGCATTTTATGCATTTGACATGACTGGACTTTGCTCCTCATCATCCTTACACCTTGATGCACATGACAATGTGTAGTTATCTTTTTTTTTTAAAGTGAGGTGTAAATTGCCATCATGCATGAATGAAGGATATTTTTGCACTTTTACACACAATACTTCATGATCCCATTACACAATAGTGAAACCGCATGTCAAAATAACACATTGTCAATATTTTTTAAGACCACCCCAAAATTTTACAGATCATGTTTTCAGGGGAGCCCATGCCCTGTCTAGGCCCGTAGTTCACATCCTGTTTGGACTAGAAACAAGACAAAAACTCTAAGAAAAGCACTTTGTACACTGTAAAAAGTGAAAACTTAAACAAATTACTTTTACTAGTTACAATTAAAGGAATTAAGTTTGACAA